GTCGTAATCTAGAATTACGTTGTCCTACTTTTTGTAATGCGGCAGAAACAAAAATGTATCAGGTATTTCCATTAATATTAGGGCAATGACAAATATTACATAATATTTAAATAATAGGCTTACCGTTAGCTATTACAAATAAAATTTATCGATTCTACTAAAGAGCGCATGGTAGTTCCGATATTATGTAATATTTGTCATAGCCTTATACGAAAAAAGTTTTTAAGCCACGATTCGCAAACAAGTGTCACATAATTATTTATTATAGGGTTATGAAGCATTGCAAAGAGCTAAGAAAAATGAAGACGAACATACGACCAAAGAAGCGTTGCGAAATTCACTCAAGTATGTTATTTTTTTTATAAATTAATTCGAATTGTTTTATGGTATTAATTTAATGTGAATATCTTGTTCCAAAGCATATTTTGTGAATGTATCAACATTTTGACATACGGAACTTTAAATAATTTATGTCAAGATTACAAGAATTTTGGATTTTATGAAGGTATATGATTTAAAATATGGCAACATCAAATTTCATTTTATGCATTTGACACTAGATATTTTTATTAGGGGCAATTGAGCTTTTATTGAAAGCAGCACAGAGTTTTGACCTAGTACCTGAAAAGCGTAATTCAATTCTCGATCTTGTCATTGATACTTTACGAGATGCTGGAGTTTTTGCAGATGGAATTCAACGTATGTATCCAAATATTACTATTTTAATATTGTAAGAAATGATCATGGAAAACTTTATCTGGCATTCATTCACGCAGGTCACGCGCAATCGTTTAGCCCGGTGCTTCAGAAGGCTCTCAATTTAGGAACTTCACTAAACGACAGAACTTTCCTTTTCGCAGTCTATGACGAATTTTTGGGTGCAGATTCAATTCCACAATTATTTCAGGTAGTAACAATTTTTTATATCAGTGCATTTAAAGTTACTTTATGGATCAATAAACCATCGAGAATCTTTTAGCCACCTGCACCATATCTTGAAGAATATTTGAATTCCTCTACCGATCTTACGTCGCCGATTACCAGAAAAAAGTTGGATTTATACTGTGATTTCTGTGTTACACATCGTCAATACCTCAAAGCCGCTAAAGTCAAAGAATATATAGCTAAAAACCATGGGTAAGTTAATCTTTTTGTCGGTTGTCTGAGCAGAAGTAGGCATTCGTATGGGCCAGTAGGCATGTTATGACCTATTAATGGAAATACCTGATACATTTTTGTTTCTGCCGCATTACAAAAAGTAGGACAACGTAATTCTAGATTACGAC